TGCTGTGTCTGGGATGAGACCGCGTTATGTTGTTACTCTAGAACACAGGTCAAAAATAACACCCTTTTTTCCGTAAAGGAGCAGAGAGTAAACATTTGTGGCTTGATGGGCCGCTTGGGCTCCATCGCCACTACTCGACTCTGCTGTTGCAGCACGAGAACAGCGAGAGGCAATATGTTAACAAACAGGTGTGGCTGTGTTCCGATAAAACTTTATTTACAAAAACAGGTGGTGGGCTGGATTTGGCCTGCAGGCCCTGCGCTAGAGGACCACCTGCTCATCGTGCTCTTTTTGAATTATTACCATTACCATTTGTTCACTCTCCCATTCTTTTGTCTAATAAAAGGTCGGTTTATTTTTTAAAGGAAGACATTGTTCCAAAACCCATTTTATTTTTGTTTTTAATTTTTTTTTTAACGTTTATTTATTTTTGAGACAGAGAGAGACAGAGCATGAACGGGGGAGGGTCAGAGAGAGGGAGACACAGAATCCGAAACAGGCTCCAGGCTCTGAGCTGTCAGCCCAGAGCCCGACGCAGGGCTCGAACTCACGGACCGCGAGATCGTGACCTGAGCCGAAGTCGGACGCTTAACCGACTGAGCCACCCAGGCGCCCCGCAAAACCCATTTTAAAAGGTGTGTGCAGGGACGCCTGGGTGGTTCAGTCGGTTAAGCCTCCGACTTCATGATCTCACAGTGCATGGGATTGGGCCCCATATCGGGCTCTGTGCTGACAGCTCAGAGCCTGGAGCCTGCTTCGGATTCTGTCTCCCTCTCTCTCTGCCCCTCCCCCGCTCGTGCTCTGTCTCTGTCTCTCTCTCAAAAATAAATAACCATTGAAAAGAAATAGAAAATAAAATAAAAGATGTATGCAGGGTGGGGCGGAAAGGAGGTGAATATGTGTGCCGGGCACATGGGGGCTTGGAAGACTGGCCCAGGCCTTCCCCAGACCGCAGTCGGGTCCTGCCCCCCACCCACGCCATCCTGCGCTGCAAGGACCCCTCCCACATGGCCCCTAAGTCGCCCATCCAGCCTGGAGCTGGGCCTTGGGGGCCACTGGCCCTGCACCTGTGTGTTTCCCTTCCTCCTGCCTCAGCCGTAACACAGAGACGCAGACTGAGTCCTTGCCGACTCTTGCCCTGGAAACTCTTTTGAATCTTTTTATTTTCCTACCCCAGCCACCAAGTTAAATCCGCAGTTTTCAGCCTTTAGTACCCTGCCCCTTCTTTCACCTTCCCTCCCCAACTTAACTGTCTTTGTTCCAAGTTAAAAGAGCATCACGAGGCAGAAGAGAACCCAAGCTTTATAGCCGCCATTTTTCATTCCCATAAGGCTATGTTTTAGAGTCGAGAGAGGCCCGTGCGAAAGAGTCTTGTCAGCAGTTTTACTGGCTTTCCTCGAGGAGAGCTAAAACGCCGGTTGCCAAGCAACGTGCCCTGGCTTCTTCCGACAGTGTGGACTTGGGGGAAAAAAAAATCATCCTACGATTGACTGGTGAAGGGGGAGCCGGGTGGAAATGCACAGGGCAGACAGTGCGACGTAACCGTGTTCTGCCTGCTCCTCCTGGCCCCTCTTCCTGAGGACGGACACGCGGTCACACGCAGGAGGGAGCGTGCCCTCAGCAGAGCACGACGGTTAGCAGGCATTCACACCAGGGGACTTCGTGGGACACGTGATCCTCATCAGCCGCAGGTTCCGTGTTTGCGAATCACGTTCAAACTCAGCTCGAGTGGCGCCTTTGCTGTCGTTTGCGGACGTGCACAGCGGCCCAAACGTGGGGTGGCTTGATGTGCCGTCCCCAGCTGAGATGGGACAAGCCAGCCCTCTGCCTCCTTGTCTCGCCTCTCTTCTTGTAAACAAGGCTCCTCTTCAGAGTCCTGTTTGGTGCCACGTTGTTTGTATCTGTGTGCTTTTTGTTGGTGGTTTCACTGCCTTTGAAAAGGCCCCCAGGCACAGTGCTGTGGGGGTGGCCCGGCGTTCGTTGGTGCGAGAAGGCAGTGACGTGCCTTACGGAGAAAATATGTATCTTCGAGAAGCCTCGTTCAGGCATGAGTTGTAGTGCCGTTTGGCATGAATTCAGGGTTAACGAGTCAACAATATGGTACATCCAGAAAGAGGAAGAGGGAATTCACGGACCTGTGCGTCAGGCTGCTTCAGAAAGAGTTAAGTAACATCTAAAATGCATGGTGAAACTACAGATAAAAGGCTCTCTTTATGGATTCATAAGATGAATGATCAAATTAAAAACAAAAACAAAAAAACATCAGGGCGCCCGGGTGACTCCCTCGGTTGAGCGTCTGACTTCGGCTCAGGTCACGATCTCACTGCTAGTGGGTTCGAGCCCCGTGTCGGGCTCTGTGCTGACAGCTCAGAGCCTGGAGCCTGCTTCAGAGTCTGTGTCTCCCTCTCTCTCTGCCCCTTCCCGGCTCATGCTCTGTCTCTCCCTCTCTCTCTCTCCCTCAAAAATAAAAACATGAAAAATAAATAAATAATTTCAAAATTTCAAAAAAAAAAAAAAAAAAGCATAGTGGACAATATTGTGAGGCTGAGAAAGCCAAAGAAATTTATGTTCTTATTACCTAGGGTCAGAAAAATAAACCCTCCTCAGCTAGTGTTTTGTTCTAAAGAAATAGTGTGCGCAGTTCATCATTTGTAAGGAGTATGTGTTAAATCAGGTGTTCTAAACAGAAACACGTGAAACAAGGTTATGTATTGATCGATTCATTGACGGGAAACTGACCAGTGGCCCCGAGGAACCGTTCCCATCTGGACTCACTGCTTCAGGGTTCACAGAGACTTAATAGACCACAACCACCTCGGACAGTAAGAATTGACTGCAGCGGTCACGACTTCCCACTGATGGGATCTGTCTTCCACTCGAAGACACAGTGAAGACAAAACCCTAGACTCAGGCAGCTGCAGGCTCTCCGCGAAGAGTGTGTGCCGGGGGTGGGACCCGACCGCCCGTCTGGCTGTCAGCTCTGGTGGCATCCGTGACCTGCCTGCTGGACACATTTTGAAGGCAGATGAGTGTTTGCAGCGAGGCCTCGATCCTTCTGCACACCCCCTTCCCTGTCTCAGTCCGTTGAGGCCGCGCTGAAAAAATAACCACAGATGGAGGGCCTCAAACAGCAGACATGTATGTCTCAGAGCTGGAGGTTCAACAAGGCGTTAGCAGGTCTGGTGTTCGGTGAGGCAGCTTCCTGGTTCATAGACGGCTTCCTTCTGGTGACAGCCTCCGATGGCGGAAGGGAGCGAGCAAACTCCCCTGGAAGTCTCCCTTATAAGAGCGCTGTTCTCGTCGATGACAGCACTGCCCTTGTGACTGGTCACCTCCCGAAGGCCCCCCCCCCCGATGGCATCACTTTGGGGGTTAGCTTGCTTGCGTTCAGTCCGCAACACTCTCCTTCCACGACTTTCATCACTGACGATTTCGGCTGAAGGAAAACCCTGATGCGTTTTTTTTTTTTTATTGCCCTGGAACTGAGCCAGAGTGAGCCCGGCGTCCCGAACTGACACCTTAATTGGTTCCAGATGGAAAAGGCAAACTCTGGCTCTCACCCCGCAGTCTTCCTCCCTGAAGGCCCCATGCAGGTCACATGTGAAAGGGTTTCCCCGTTTCCAAGGCCTGATCTCTGAAGACGGCAGCCTGCCTCTCACACCGGGTCTGCCAAGCTGGACGGTCCCTCTCCAGGGAGCTCTGCGGGGGTGGCCGGCTGACAGCCGAGTGGGGACACGGACGTGAGGACGAGCCGCCGGAACCTGGCATTCTGAACACAACGCACAGCGATGCACACAGGGCACAGGAGACGCAGAGGCTGCCTCTGCCTTCGGGATCAGGGAAGCTTCCAGAGGTGAAATGACATCTGGCAGCAGTTGAGAGGAGAGGGCTGATGATGACGTAAGCAGAAGCCTTTTAAGAGCGAGGCAGGGGGGCGCCTGGGTGGCGCAGTCGGTTAAGCGTCCGACTTCAGCCAGGTCACGATCTCGCGGTCCGTGAGTTCGAGCCCCGCGTCAGGCTCTGGGCTGATGGCTCAGAGCCTGGAGCCTGTTTCTGATTCTGTGTCTCCCTCTCTCTCTGCCCCTCCCCCGTTCATGCTCTGTCTCTCTCTGTCCCAAAAATAAATAAACATTGAAAAAAAACAAATTAAAAAAAAAAAAAAAAAAAGAGCGAGGCAGGGAGACTGTTGGGACACGTGCAGGAATGGAAACACATGCACCATGGCTCCAGGTCAGTTTTGGAAGAGCCTGCAACCACCGTCTGTAAAGTCCTGAGCCTCATTATCACCACTCAGGGCCCTGGCCCCACACGGCACCTGCGGAGTCCCCAAGAGGAGGCCTTTCTAGAAAGGTCTGCGTTCTGTGGCTGACGGATTGAGTGCTCGGGCCCGTGTCTCTGTTTCTCCACTCGTAATCGGGAACACAGACACCTTCTCCTGCATTGCCGCCACGTGCAGGCACGAGAGGAAGAGACAGATGGTGATAAAGTGCTTGCCACTCTCGCAAACAAACTGGGTACATTGCAGACACACGGATCTAACACGCAGGTTCGTGGCTGGCAAACCACTTTGCCTTGCAGGGACCCCTCGCGCACAGACACTTGAAAAGAAGGGCTGTGTGTGCACACGGCCTGCCGAATCAGTCACGGAGCCGTCTTCTCCCTTCCTCCAGTTCCTATCCCCAGGTCCCGTCGTCCACAGCGCCCGGTGGGCGCACACAGAAGCACGGGCTTACCCAGGAGCAGGACACGAGTACCAAGGGAGGTGTGTCACGTGGATTCCATCCTTGGGGTTAGAAGCCCTTGCTCGGCTGCCCGCTACAAACAGCGGTGTGCTAGAAAATGATGTTAATTAATTAGTACGCCCTTTTTTTTAAAAATGGGGGGAAAAAAAAACCCTGCTGCCCACAACAAAAAAGCCATGTGTAGGCCCGCGGTCCTACCCTGACAGCCAACGTGAAGCATGACCCACTAATGCAGCCTTAATTCACTTTGTTTGGCAGAGAGAGCAAACTCACCATGCTGTTGCGAGAGTCCCTGGGGAACGTGAACTGTCGCACCACCATGATCGCGCACATCTCGGCGGCCGCCGGCAACTACGCAGAGACCCTGTCCACCATCCAAATCGCCTCGAGAGTCTTGAGGATGAAGAAAAAGAAGACGAAGGTAGGGAGCTCCCAGGGGGTGCAGTGGGTGTAGATGCTTTGGGAGCCCTACCCTGGAGCCGAGCCGGTATTCCTAATCCCCGAGCGCAGGGGGCGGGGGGGGGGGGGGGGCAGGCGATGCTGACGATAGTCGGGTGGCGGGGGGAGGATGATGAAGTCCGCGTCCCCTAGCCCCGCCAGCTGCTGGTCATCCAGCCTGGACCCCTAACCGGGAGCACTAGGCCCACGTCAGGCATCTGGGTAGGACGGGAAACACTCCGTGTCTCCTTCCCTGCCCTGGTCCCACGTAGATAGAGACCCTGTCCTGCGACTGGCTGAGCCCATCTTTGGATTAGTGCTTTGCTCACGTGGTGCTACTTCTCCTGCATTTCCAGGAATCATTTATGGGCTCCTGGGCTTTGCCACATGAATACAGTGGTTTCTTGTGGATGCGAGGAGCCTGGCAGAAACTACCAGCCTTGCTTTCTCGGGCAGAGGCAAAGCCAGGACCCTGGTGGCATGACCAGAACGTGGCAGAAAGCCATCACAACTGTGGTCACCAGGCCAGCTGGTGAAGCAGGAAGCTTTTTTCCTTTTTGTGTCTTTCTGTGTATGGCGGGGAGTGGGGGAGGGGGGGGGTCAAAAACGGGCCTTGACAACCTGTGTGACGCAGGATACCACAGACGGCTGGGGTATGCCACGGTAGTGACCTGTCTGCCCTCAGGAGGTCACCCGGGGCCCGGGCTGGTCACCTGTCCTGAGCAGGCTCTGTTCCCCAGCGTGCCACATGGGCCGTTCTCACTAGAGGCCGCGGTGTGGTGGCAAGCTGGGGCACGCCGGCCTGACGCACCACGAGGAACAGCCTGACGCAGGGAGGGGAACCGGGGTGGCCTGGGGGGCCTGTTCGGAGTCGCTGTGGGCTCGCCGGGAGGCCCGCCCCCGCTAACCTCCCCGCTCTCATCTTCAGTACACGTCAAGCTCGTCCGGTGGGGAGAGCTCCTGCGAGGAAGGCAGGATGCGAAGGCCCACCCAGCTGAGACCCTTCCACGCCAGGGCCGCGGGGGACCCGGACTTCCCCATCCCCCCGCTGTCCAGCGACCCCGACTACTCCTCGAGCAGCGAGCAGTCCTGCGACACGGTCATCTACATCGGGCCCAACGGCACGGCCCTCTCCGACAAAGAGCTCACCGACAACGAGGGCCCCCCAGACTTTGTCCCCATCGTGCCCGCCCTGCAGAAGGCACGGGGCGACGGCCGGCCCCCGGAGGCCGGAGGGGCTGCGGCCGGCAAGTCGGAAAGGGACTGTCTGAAGTGCAACACGTTTGCCGAGCTGCAGGAGAGGCTGGACTGTATCGACGGCAGCGAGGAGCCCAGTCAGTTTCCTTTCGAAGAGCTGCCGGTCCAGTTTGGGGCCCAGCAAGCGGGCAAGGGTCCCCCGTTAAGCCAGGCGGCTGGGGCCAACCCACTCTGTGAGTCTGAGAAGGAAGAGGCCGGGTCCGACGGGCAGCCGACTGACAGAGAAGGCACCGACCCTCCCGCCTCCAAGATGCAGAGGAATCACTCGCCGGGCCCCACCCCGGCTCTGCCCGGCAGCCCCAGCCCTGCCTCGCCCAGGAGCATCCCGGGCAGCGGCGGTGGCCAGCACGCTGCTTCCCAGCTCACGCAGAGCCCCAGCCTCCAGAGCAGCCGAGAAAGCCTGAACTCCTGTGGCTTCGTGGAAGGCAAGCCCAGGCCGATGGGGTCCCCGCGGCTGGGCATCGCCAGCCTGTCCAAGACCTCCGAGTACAAGCCGGCCAGCTCTCCCTCCCAGAGGTGCAAAGTCTACACCCAGAAGGGTGTCCTGCCCTCTCCTGCTCCCCTGCCATCCTTCAGCAAGGACGCCTGCACGGCATCCAGCGAGTCCCTGCTGCAGCCTGAGGTGCGAACCCCCCCGGTTGGAATGAGCCCCCAGGTTCTGAAGAAGTCCATGTCCGCTGGGAGCCAAGGGTTCCCCGAAAGCCCGGTCGATGACGAGCACCAGGGGGCCACCTCTCCAGACCCCAAGAAGGAGGTCCTGAGCACCACGACGGTGACGGTGCAGCAGCCCCTGGAGCTGAACGGCGAGGACGAGCTGGTGTTCACACTGGTGGAGGAGCTGACCATCAGCGGCGTCCTGGACGGCGGCCGCCCCACCAGCATCATCAGCTTCAACAGCGACTGCTCCGTGCAGGCCCTGGCCTCGGGCTCCCGGCCCGTCAGCATCATCGGCAGCATCAGCGAGGATCTCGAGTGCTACTCCAGCGTGGCCCCCGTGTCCGAGGTCAGCATCACGCAGTTCCTGCCCCTCCCGAAGCTGACCCTGGACGAGAAGGCCCGCGAGGCCGGGAGCCAACGTTCCTCCATCAGCTCCTGGCTGAGCGAGGTGAGCGCCGGCAGCGATGGCGAGCAGTCCTGCCACAGTTTCATCGCTCAGACGTGCTTCGGGCACGGGGAGGCCATGGCCGATCCTCCGGCCTCGGAGCTGGGCGGCGGCATCCAGAGCAGCCCTGTGGTGTGCCGGGAGAAGCCCGAGGCGGGCCCCGACGGTTTGCTCATCCTGTCTGACGTGGGGGAGGACTCTTTTGACAAGGCGACCCCCATCCAGGGCTGCAAGATATCCACGCTGGGCAAGGCCATGGTCACCATCTCCAACACAGCAGACCTGAGCAGCTGCGAAGGGTACATCCCCATGAAGACCAACATCACAGTCTACCCCTGCATTGCCGTGAGCCCCCGGCCCGTCCAAGGGCCCGAGGTGTCCATCGCCCCCGCGGTGAGCTCAGCGCCCAGAGCAGCCCAGCCCCAGGACAGCCGGGAAACCGGTGCGAAGACAGAGATGAGATTTGAGGACCCTTGGCTAAAACGGGAAGAGGAGATAAAGAAAGAGAGCGCCTATCCCGGTGAAGAAGGGGCCGGGTGTGAGGCCGCCACAGGCCCCCCCGCAAAGCCTGAGGCCAGAGCAGAGCAGCACAGGAAGGCCAGCCCTGGGGACAGGCTGAGCAGCAGCAGCGGTGAGGTGTCCGCTTCCCCCGGGAGCGACAACCTCAGGAGGGTTGCGGATGGCTGTGAGATGGCCCTGCCCGGTGTGGCCGCCCAGAGCCCCGTGCACCCCAACAGAGGCCTGAAGTCCAGCAGCCTTCCCAGGGCTTTCCAGAAGGCCAGCCGGCAGGAGGAGCCGGGCAGTCCGTTCTACCACTGCGCCGCGGAGACCAACGGGCTGGGCAGCGCCCAGGGCGCGTCGCCCTGCAAGGCGGCCCTGGAGAGGAAGGCGGCGTCGCCCAAGCACTGTATGCTGGCCCGGCCCAAAGGGACGCCCCCTCTGCCGCCGGTCCGCAAGTCCAGCCTGGACCAGAAGAACCGGGCCAGCCCCCAGCACAGCGCCTGCAGCAGCGGCACCAGCAGCCCGTCGCACCCCCCGGCGCCCCTCCTGGCCCCGTTCCCGGATGAGGCCGGCGGCCAGGCCAAGGAGGCCAGCAGCAGCAGCCGGCTGTTCAGCGCCAAGCTGGAGCAGCTGGCCAGCAGGACCAACTCCCTCGGCAGGGCCACCGTCAGCCACTACGAGTGCCTGTCGCTGGAGAGGGCCGAGAGCCTGTGCGCGGGGAGCTGGCGGGCGCACGCGGGCAAGGACAGCACGATGCCCCGCGCGGGGAGGAGCCCGGGCCGCGGGGGCGCCGGGGCCTCGCCCACCGCCCT